CCCTATACCATTTTAGACAAGTGGCTGTCCAGTTTATTCTTAAAAGCCTCCAGTGATGGAGCACCCACAACTATTGACGGCCAGCTGTTCCACTGATTAATTGTCCTCACTGTTAGGAAGTTTCTCCTTAATTCCAGGTTGCTTCTCTCCTTGATTCATTTCCATCCATTGTTTCTTGTCTTGCCTTCTGGTGCTTTGGAAAATAGGTTGACCCCCCTCTTCTTTGGGGCAGCCTCTCAAATACTGGAACACTGCTATCATGTCTCCCCTAGTTCTTCTTTTCTCTAGACTGGCCATACCCAAATCCTGCAATCGTTCTTTCTATGTTTTAATCATCTTAGTTGCTCTTCTCTGCGCTTTTTCCAAAGTCTCAACAACTCAACCAACTCCATGCTGGGGTTCTTGGATCTTTAATAGGAAGTTACTAGTCCTCATTGACTAATGAGAGAAGAGCTAGTGCTCATGCTCAAAGGAATTCTCTAAGACCAAGCATGGAGTTCCTGCCTTTTTCCCACTACAAACACAGCTAGAATCATCAAAACCCAACACATCAATTCAGGATGTCAACACTTCCAGCTGTCCTCTGTCTTCTGGTTGTGCATGGTGTGTAGACCGTCAATGGCTATTTTATCACCTTGTCAGAAAAAGCTTGTCTATGGGACAACCTTTTCTAAAATCAGGGGGGGGAATCCCCCCAGGATACAGTTTTTATTGTTTTTCCCTATTTTTACCAAAAGCAATTGAGAACCTCAGCCTCAAGCACTAACACTTTGTGAGGATAGAGATAGAAAAAAAGATATAACATAAAATTATCATAGGCACAGCTGTGCAGGCAGCAGCACTCTTGAGTAAATTTAACCACTTGGCCCTTTTTTTCCTCTAGTTCTACTGCCTTCCTGAGACAGGAGGAGTCTGGTAGCATCTTTTCCAAACAACAAGTTTCATTAAAAGGCATAAATTACCTTTTTTTTTTTTTTACTATCCCCTGGATTATCACGGTTTTCTTCCTTTCTGGATGGGAGATTTTAAAAGCTAATGCTTTAAATGCCAGTGCAGCACTAGTTGGACAGTTGGGGAGAGGTTGAATCCTGTTTCTGTACCTCTTTTTAAAACAAGGCATAAAAATAGGACTCTAGCGAAGCATGAAGACAAGGAACAGTACAGTGAAATATTTCTTGCAAGGGATAGTGTACCAGGATAACAAAACAGAATAACAGAGTTGGAAGGGACCTTGGAGGTCTTCTAGTCCAACCCCCTGCTCAGGCAGGAAACCCTATACCATTTCGGACCAATGGCTGTCCAGTCTCTTCTTAAAAACTTCCAGGGTTGGAGCATTCACCGCTTCTGGAGGCAGGTTGTTCCACTGGTTAATTGTTCTAACTGTCAGGAAGTTTCTCCTTAGTTCTAGGTTGCTTCTCTCCTTGATTAGTTTCCATCCGTTGCTTCTTGTCCTGCCTTCTGGCGCTTTGGAGAATAGCTTGACTCCCTCTTCTTTGGGGCAGCCCCTGAGATATTGGAAGGCTGCTATCATGTCCCCCCTCATCCTTCTCTTCATTAAACTAGACATACCCAATTCCAGCAACGGTTCTTCATAGGGAACAGCTTTATGGCTACATGCTTAAAACCTCATCCTTCCGTCTTCTCCCATTTGTGGAACTGTTGGGTTTTCAAATGTCAAAAAAAATATATTTAAGCCAGGTAATGTGTAACTTTATTTGAAAGGAGACTTTTACAATCATTGACTGCTTTAAAATCATTTTTATTATTCCTGATCATGCACAGATGCAAATTCATTCTAACTCCACCGTTAATGCTATTTCTAATTTCAGAAGGGCAGTTTTGTTTGATGATTCTAGGCAAAAAACCACAGTGTTGTCGTAGCACCTAAATGTTTCTCTTATTATAAGAGAACTGTAAACGCAACCATTTTTGAAAAAAAGAAAGATATTTATAGAACCCTTCCGGAAGATGAGCAAAAGAACAGCTTTCGGTTTCCAGAATTTCCTTTTGAATTGTAAGCCATTGTGCAGTCCTGGATTGTTTTCTTCAGAAGATCTAATTCTCCTATATTAAGTTGAAGCTGACAAAGTTAGAGGTCAGGATAGGATTTGTGCTCAGACTGCCTGAGACCCATACATGGAATTTTGCCTTAATCTGTGTTTTCCTTCTGGCACAGACTCTCAAAACTCAGCATTTATTGGATGCTCTGTGCCTGGAGATGATCTAGTATAGGGGCACATTAAGTTTTGGGGGTGAATTAGTACCCACCTGGAATTTTGAAAGCTGGTTGTAGGTTCACAGATGGACTCCTACCACCTGTGTTGATGGGTGTGGTTATTCTCTACTTACTCACCTTCTTTGCCCATTTCAGAGCCTCCTATAGCTTCCTCACCACCACCACCCCTCTCTCTCTCTCTCTCTC